AGCACTGGCATGTAAAAGAATTACATCAAAACTAGTCAGTGAATGTATCCAAAATCTCCAAAACCTGGGAGAACACAACAACCTGATGATATCTTGGGTGCCAGGGCACAGGGGAATTCTGGGTAACGAAGAGGCGGACAAACTGGCCAGAAGAGGATCTGCAAGACCATACATAGGCCCCGAACCTATCCTTGGGATAACAAAAACAAACATAGATTCCTCCATCGCAGAATGGATCCAAACAAAACAAAGAGAGAAGTGGATAAACTCTAGCGGTGCTAGACATAGTAAACTTATGCTGAAACAACCCTCACCAAAATTGGCAAAAACACTGCTGCAATTGGAGAGGGCAAAACTCAGAGGAGTGGTGGGACTACTAACCGGTCACTGGTATCTGAGAAAACATCTACACAACATGGGTATATACAGCGATGACCCCATTTGCAGATTATGTAATGAGGAGGAGGAAACAGCCACTCATATCATCTTCGAATGCGAAGCAACAGCTCAATGGAGGTTTAACCTAGCGTACGAAAAAGACACAGGGAACCAAATTGCAGCAATAACAGTCAATGACTTGATGCTTCTGAGAAGAAGGATTGAGTCTATTGACTAAACTAGGGAACTGGGAAGGCACAATAAGCCAGAAGGCTGCAGTGGCCGGAGAGTGCAAACCCCGCTTCCTAGTATCCTTTTCTACCATACCATACCATACCATACCATACTTATCTGTCGAAAGTTATTCCAGCAATCGTTTGTATTTCAAAACTATATGGAAATCTTAAGTTTTTGTCAAACCGAAATAATTGACTGCATAAACTAAAGAACCCAAAGTTTATAGAACTATTAATTAAAAAATCTTCTTCCAAAAGATGTAATTTAAAAGTGTGGATTTCAGCCTTACAACAACCTCCAAATTAGGTTTTCGTACCGCGATTCGATAGCGCAATGCCAAATGCGAGCGAGATGTCCCATTCATGTTAATTTTTTCCCAAGGTTTGATTCTTTTTTCTATTCAAGTACGTTTTACAAACAATTTATAGAAAAATCCATCACTTCCTGAAGTACAAAGTCAAGTCCATTTGTTCCGAATATTCCTAGGTCGTTCCGCTTATCGATCAACCTGTTTCGCATAGTTTCGCTTTAACACACGGCATGAAAACTAAATTTCGCCGTCTAAACTGAATTTTAATTTAATTTTAAACGGAATTATTCGAATGACCAACTTTGTGAAAATGCACGCCCGCTTTGGATTTTATTGACTGCTGAAACAAACGAAATTAGAAAGTTGCAATTAACGACCCCGATTTAGGTGGTAGTCGCCTATATGATCAAATCAGATGTTACTTAATGACGAACTTGCAATTCATCAATTAATCAACTGCAATACCTCTAAACCGCAACTTCAAAAATAGTAATTTTTTATTGCACCGTAACAACTAGTTAATTTGGTAATTTCATAAACTCTGATTTATTATTATTTCGTTTTGTAATTCTATTTTAATCTGAAAAGATTTACATACAAAAGTTGATTTCTGTTGTCTTGTATTATAAAAAATTATTTATATTATCAAATGATAAAAATTATGAAAAAAATATGATACGAATTTCAAGCTTTAGAATAGTTTTGCAACCACAAACAGAAAAATAACAAAATTTTAAATGGTCAACTCCATTTTAATAAAAGAATAAAAGTCATCGTTTCCCATTTTACCATACTACCCAAAATACATTTTTTTTTTTTATTCAAGAAGATTCAGTATATAGATGGTATCTTGTTCATTGTAGATTATAAACGTTTTACTTTAGAAGATAAATGTAAATTATGTATGTTTTATCGTTTATTATTTTTTAAATGCTGTGTAACAAGTGTTCTTTCCTTAAAAAAGAGTTACCATTTCTATAAAAAAAAAATTCTTCGGACTAAGTTTGTAATGTTAAAAATATTAAAACAAAGTTTTGTTTTGTTGTGAAATTCGTATAATTTTATTTTTGGCCTAATCAAATTGGCTTTTTTTTAACCGTATAATATTGAATTCCGTTCTATCTTTTTTCCTTAGACTTTAAGGTTATATAAGGTATATTTTTTTCTTCCCTTGCTGCTACTGCCAATCTAGGCTATTCTATCTACTAGATCACACTTTTTTTACACTGATAGCTCAATATTTCTTTATTTTAGCTCATATTTTATATTTGTTTACTTTTCATTTTTTGCTGCAATAAAGTTATTATCATAGACGATATTTAACATTTATTCAAAATATTTAAACATTTTGTCCTATTTTTCTGTATTGAGAATCCATCCGATTATTCACTACATCAATTTGATCAACTTTTATAGTTAAAAATCATGAGATAGAACTTTAAAAAATCATGCACTTAAAAAGAAATAGCACGGGGATCTTACATAGACGATGATCTAGGAACAACCTGGCCCTGCGCGTTCTTGATTCGTCTCCTTGATCACAAACTTCTCCTTGTAATTGTTTTGCGATTTCACTTTTAAATAGTTAATTTTTTAATTCAGTACTGTTCGATAAGGGGCAAAAAGTATATATTTTATAAATTTTGTTTCACTTGGAAGGATGTAACCACAAAAACAAACGATTCCTTTTTGTAATCGGAGTAGTAACTTTATTTGTAAAAAACACGTTTCCGCTGGAAATAAGATTGCAATTTTTTGAAATTTTGTCTCAAATTTTGATTACCCCGAGTAATTATTGAAAGATTATATCTACTGTTGAAAAATTGTACGATTACTATTTTAAAATCTAATTGACATCCTTAATGTACCTGATCCAATCTGGCGGGTTTATTTATTTGTTTTTGTTGTATTTCTTTTTAGTTTAAAAAGACGGGACATTGTCGAGAAGCATATTTTTTGGTTTAAAATAAAATTTCATTTCTTATGTTTGTTCTTTTTTAAGTATAAACAAAAATATAATGAGAAGAAAGTTGTACAAAAATCTGACAAACAATCAAATGAAGACATTCCAGTTCGATAAAAGTTTTTTAAAAATTTGTAATGCCTTCTTGAAAAAATAATAAGACAACGACCAACAAATCCATTATGTCATTGGACTAATATTTGTAAAAAAAGATTCTGTTTGAAAGGTTTTTGTGGGAAATCATTTGAATTGAGCTTTGAAAATTGGTCTGAATATATAACCATCCCTGAGTCATTAAGTGGAAATTTAAAATTATGCTATAATAAGTATGATTAGTTTTTATGATATAATTGATATGTTTCTCTTTATTACACCTGATTTTGTACATTACCTGAGAAGCATTTTCTTCAATAAAAAATGTAACCATTCTTCTCTTTATTCAATTCATTTCATTCAATTTTTCTCTTTATTCTTTTTTAATTCTGAACAAAAATTTGATAATAATTTAGTTTTAGAAACAATCGAATAAAAACACCCTACTGATTTTTTGTTGCAATTTAGAAGAAAAATCTACAGTTGGATAATTTAAGTTTATATGCATAGAAATGTGATCTGTATAGTTTTTATTTGTTAATATTTTTTCCTGATGTGTACCACTGATATGTTAATTACAAAACCATTTTATGTTTGTACCTATAAAAAATATATGAATTTGAAGAGAAAAATAAAAAAGGTTTGTCATTATTTTATTTGTACAACTTTTTTTTGTAAATAAATTAATTTAATTCTAGACCGAACGGTTTTTTATTTCGTGTTTTACGCCGCAGGTCGTCGAAAATTGAAATTTGTATTTCCTATAAGAAGTCTCTCTCTCTTCTCGTCTCGAAAGGATGTTGAGCAATCTGGTCCAAGGACTTAGATTGTGTCAGCCCTGTACGCGTACTTTTTGATCCGATCTTATTATGAGAAATCTTGCTTGATAACACTTTGATATTTATTAATTGAAAATTCCCAATAATGTAATTGACCTGTAACAATCTTAACCTTTCTAAACATTACCCAAGATCATAGACACAAATTAAGTTTGCAACATTTTTCCCAGACAGGTAATAAAGTATATATTTATCGATTGGTAGAAAATAATTGTTGGTTTAAACTAAATTTTTCTTTTGAAAATATTTTTTGATAGCATAAAAATTAGAAAACCATGAAATACATCAATAATTACGGTTTGTCTTCTTTCTTTCCGTTATTGCAATATTTAGAAAAACTGTCACTTACAACATTTTCAACCCAATTTTTTTTACGTTTTTCACTGTTTGAATACACGAAAAATATACAAAGTTTGAGAAAGATCCTTTACTGAAGATGGTGCAAAGTCGTAACATTTTTGAGTAACATCAAAACCCTAGATGGGCCCAGTAAGTAAAACAGAGTCGGTAATGTATTAAATTGTATATTCACATATTTCATTTATACAATTTAGGTCGCTTTTTCGTCAAAGTGTTAAAAAGCATAGATCATTGATTTTACCGATGAAAAAATCGAAAACCGTGAAACTATGTTTATCACTTTTATTTGGGATAAGAAGGGTTAACTATTTTTCATAGAGATTTCGGCCATTGACTGCAAAATACACTTGCATACGCAATTAACCCATCTTAACACTTTTAAATAACGACATTAAAAAATCATTTTGGTTAATTTTTTGTTCATCATACCTACTCAGTTTTGGCCGTAATATGAAAAATTTATTAATAAAGAGGTAAAAAATTGAAAATTTATGGTCTTTTAAAAATTTGAGGTGTAAATAAACGGAAAAGTCGAAATATGAAGAAAAATATGTGTTCAAATGTTTTCTGATAGTTCTTTGGATTAATATTAAGAAGTATTGTTTATCAAATTTTATTAATTTTTTTTTTATTAAAAACATTCAGCGTTGCATTTGCTTTAGTTATGAGTTTTGTTTTCACGGTTTCCGAAGAGGATAAAAAATACTACAGCGGGATTATTTTAAAAATACAGAAGATAAGTTTTTTTACATATTGCTGTCAGGTCTAGTTAAAATAATGCAAAATCCGGCCCTTTAGTCGGCTCTGGCTTAAGCCATACCTCTTTGTATCTGCGGAAGATGGGGCTGCTTGAAAAGCCAGTTCTTTATGGACTCGACATCCTCAGCAATCCCCTGCGGGGTCATGCCGTACGCCTTGTAAATCCTCGACTTCCCCCTAGCATTCAGCATATCCAGGTTTTGTTTCATCTGGAAAACAAGCGAGACATTAATCGCGGTGCTTCCGGAGGGAAGGAGTCCAGGAGGGTCTACGCTTCCGGAAAGTGAAAGCGGTCTCCGGACTTCAAATATCGTCTCTTGCGGAACTTTTGCACTGTTACTCGCGGCTTACTTGCAAACTACAAAACAAATATTTTTTTCCTCTCTAACACGATAACTATGGAAACTATGTTTATGGAAAAATATACACTCACTACTATTACAATACTTTTATTGCTGTCAGGTCTAGTTAAAATAATGCAAAATCAAAATTAAACTTGGTTGACCTAAAAATTATGTAAATCTATACACTTCTATGGCCAGATGGTTAATATTTTTCTATGATAGTGCATTTCGTACATCATAAAATTCCTTTTGTTTTAAACAGTATTTCAAAACTTGTATATTCCATTATTTTTGCAATCTTGAACTAGCAAACATGAATCATCACTGAATGAAAAACTCAAAAAGAACTTGTAATGTTAAATACTTACATGAGCAAATACTTGTTTTATTATCTTTTATTATTTTCTAGTTAATATATCCACTAAAACAACTTGATCTATGGATCAAGATCGGTTCAATGAAAGCTCACCTTTATACAATCCTTCTCGACAGGCACTCGGGAATAAACTAAGGGTTCCCAGCCATCAGCTCTCTTTTATATAACCGAAAGTACATGGTGGGGGCAGCCCATTTTTAATTATAATGTTCTATTTGCTAGTCTTTTTGTTTCCCACTTCCAACCTAGGCCGCCCTTTTGATGTTGTTTTCTGAAAAGCCGGATGAGAAAAATCCATTAAACGGTTCGACATATTGAATTATAACATGGGAAAAACGTTAACGTTGGGTTTAAAATAAGATTGTGCGGTTGAGGTTATCGGATCTTTTTGTTGTTGTTGAAATAGTTTAGAAGTATTTTAGCATACAATCATTTTTAGATATCAAACATGATTAACGTTTCATGGCGCAACAATTGCATATCTTTTATAGTTAAGATATAAATATATAACATGTATATAATACATTTTAAAAATCTCTCAAACCACGTCTGTGCACGCATTTTCTTAAGAATCAGGTAAATAGATTGTAAAAAGATTTATTATTTGATTAAATAATGTCGTTAACTGGTTTTGCTACCAATTTTGATTAACACATGAAAAATTAAACACATTCCTATAACTCAGTTTGAGATATTATTATTAGACTATTATTTATCTTCCGTGTTATCAAATGTCAAAATTGAAAATAGACCTGTTTTCTTGAACTTCGTGTATGTGCTACTTGTTTAATTTCATTATCTTTGTTATGTTGTATTATATGGTAAAAAGTACAATTGTTCCTTATTTTCTAATTTACAAATTAAGCAACTAAATCAAGGAATAAATATAGAGTAATTTGCACACGTACGAGAAATAAGGGCAATAAGAAAATAAGAATTAGGATGAATAAATAAGAATAAGAACAACTTTTCTATCCCCGGCCATCTCACAGTCGCTCACTCACACTCCCTCTCTATCTTACTAGCTCTCCCTCTTTCCCTCTCTCTATTCTCTCTCTCACCCTCACTCTCTCTATCTCTCTCTTTCCTCACTCAATCATTCGCTCATACACACACTCTTTCTCACACACCACACACACATTCTCTCTCTCCCACTCACTCACTCACTTTCTCTTTCTCACTCAATTATTCGCTCATACACATTCTCTTTCTCTCTCTCTCTCTCTCTCTCTCTCTCTCTCTCTCTCTCGCTCTCTCTCTCGCTCTCTCTCTCTNCTCTCCCTCTCATTATTCCTCTCTCTCCCATTCTTTCTCACTCTCTCTTTCTCTCTCTCATCCCTTTCTCTCTCTCTCTTTCTCTCTCTCTTTTTCTCTCTCTTTCTCTCTCTTTTTCTCTCTCTCACTCTCAATCCATCTAACTTTCTATTTTTCACCTTTCGTTAATTGTAAGAGTGGTCGTTCGTGACTTAAATACGCGTGATTTAAAACAAAATTCGTTATTTCTCAATTTTCAGAAATTAATAGCACTTACGTTTTAATAATATATTGTTCTAGTTAGAAAAATGGATGTACGATATATAAGAACGATTTTATTGAGCTTATAAAAATTTAATTGAAAGTATCTGAAGTTGGTTAACCATTTGTACAGTATTTCTGAATAATTAATAATTAATTATTACTATGTTAATCTACTTTGATGATTAAAGTTTACACCGTTTGAAATGTTTATATATATGTTATAATTTTTTTAAATGGTCAATCAGTATAAAATAACAACAGAGATCAACTTAGTAAAAGAATTTAATCGCGTCAATCATCAATATAAATTTAGATATAAGTATATATATNATTTACAACGTTTTATTTTAGAAAGCCGACATAGAGAAAAATTCAGTCAAGATGAACGTGCAATTAATAATTAACTCAGTTCAATTAAAGCAATCATGTTTAGTAATTTTTAATCGTCAATGAAGATTTACGATGTTTTGAATTCAATTTAAAAAAACCTTTCTAAGAATATATTGCTCCTTGAATACATGTCATTTTAATTAATTTTGTATATAGGAATCGTTAAATTATTGATTTCTCATTGAATTTAAAAAAAAAACGTTTTTCTTGAAGTTTTACATTTTAATAAGTATCCTGTTTAATTAGTTTATCACTGTGATAATTTACTAATAATATTTTACCAAAGATAACTATATAATTGTTAAATTAAGTTTAATTTCTACGAACAGCGAAAAAAAATTAGAATTTATTGCTAGATTTTGTAATTAGAATAGGGTTTCATTTATTAAAGTCTAGAAAATAAAGTTCACTTCTAACAATATGGAAATAACATGAATTATTGAACGGGAAAACACATTCGGAAAAAAAATAGATTTACAATTTTAATTTCAATCGCAGACACCCGAGGCAAGGTCTGAACACACTCAGACAGGATAGTAGAAATTGTAGAGAAATGAATAATCTTTTCCCCAAAGGAAATTATCCATTAAAATTTCGTAAATTTGACTTCAAAAATGAGTGAAACTATATTTAAAATTCAATTTTTTTTTATAGTAATATAAGCCATATTTTTCTTAGGTAATGAAGCATTTATACTTTAGCAACAATCTTACATTAATTGGTAAAATACATAATTACATTTATACATTTAAATATTTAGGAACAATCTTCTTAACTTGTTTGCGAAAAGTTTAGCTAAGCTTTCAATGTATTCAGTAAAGTTAAAGTTGAGCTGCAAGAAAGTTGAAAAACATTTAAGAAAAGAAATAAGACTTTTCAACTGTTGCCAGCCGCTTAATCACTTCAGTGCACGGAAGTATGACCACTCGGCTATTGTAAACAAATTTATCGGTTACAATATTTAGAACAAATTTCCCACTCAACGACGGTTCATTGTCTGTAAATGATTAAAACATAGCAAACAAAAACTTAATTAGAATTTTTTTATTGCTGATATATATAATCAATAATAAAGGTGATAGTGTTAGCTATTTATTAATTTAAATAACATCGTTCTATATAAAGAATTGTTTAAATATTGAATAGTCGTGTTTATAGTTAATACTGAAGATGTTGAGCTTTGTTTTCGCACTATTAAAAAATCGTATCTATCTCGCTATAAATGATACAACGTATAATATAATTTTATATTCGATAAATAGAGATAAGGATATTTGGAAGAGAAAAAAATCACGCCCAGTTTAAAAATGGTATTTTTAAAATAAAAATAATGATGAAAACTTTTATATGTATCTAAAATCGTAAAACTATTTAGGATAAAACGAGTTTTTTGGTTTAACAAATAATCTGTCGTCTCTTCTCGTTTTTTAATTTTTTTTCCTTTTTTTAAATAAATAAATATAGAGAAAAAGTCAGTTAAAAATAAAGTTGTGAAGAAGCGATATAGCCCAATTAGCAGCTTGGGGTCAAGGTTTATAAATGTATCAGAAAGCGTGGTCTCCAGTTTTCCGGAGACCGGAACTGTAGTGGTTCTGAAAAGTGCTTCCAATGCCGAGGTTTAATGGAAATGTCGTCCTCCAAGGAGACGCATCCTATTCCTAAGTGCTCTTCAGATACGAAACCAGCTTCAAATAGTCAACACGGGTTCGATATTTACCAGTACAACCGGGAAAATATGATGGGGCATAGTACTTTCAGAAGGACAGCAACAGCAGAACACCTAGAAATATCAAAACTTGTATCTCCAAGATATTTTCGATCAAATTATTTTAGCTCATACGATATGCAAGCAAAATTCGTTACTATTATTATTCCAAATTAAAGCAATACTTAATTATTATATTTAATACAAATAAATACCTAATAAAAGAAATAATCTGTACAGAAAATACAAAAGCTTGATTCGTTATGGGAGATTTGGTTGTTGGTTTATGACATTAAATACAAAATTGTATGTACAACTGGATTGTGTATGCGTTTGTCTTTGTTTAGATTTGTACTAATTCAGCACAAATTATTAATAAATTGTTTTATAACATTTAAAAAATACATTAAAACCAAAATAAAATCTTTTATGGGAACTAAATTTAATTAAGCATGGTAAATAATTTTGCAAGTAAATTTTTCAAAATGATTTTATCTAAAAGAAACTTATATTTTGAACCTACACACGAGCTTACTGAAGCATTATTTTTCAGTAGGAGTTAAGTTTTTGATATTTTCAAAACATGTACCACCAGCATTGAATAGCAGAATAACCAGCATTAAAATTGTTTTGCTTTGATCAATTAAAGTATACCAAGTGATACATTGAAATTTTATCATTAGCGATTTTTCTTAACTTATGATATTGCAAAATAAAATAAAAAATCATCTATCTTCTATCAAATATTTTCCGTTTCAAAACGTTATAGAAAACCATTTGCCCTCACCTTTTTGGTTTTTTCAGCACAGTACAACATATGTTAGATAAATGTTACAACGAAAAAATATTCATATGGTAAAGAATATAATTGGTAAAGAATATAATCAATCATAAATTTAAACGTCATTTAGAGCTGGCATTACAAATTCTTATGATCCCTTTCTGCATTACATGCTCTATTAAAACATAAAGTGCACATAATAATATATGGCATATACGCCTAAAGATGGCTCCAAGAGACAAAACTTCTGAAGAATAAGAAATAATCGCAAAAAAATCTCTTCTTTCTTTGCCGATTCCCGGACTAACAATCAACAAAAATATTTGATGCGGGGAAAGTGTTTTAACGTCGTCCTGCGTTTGGTTAACAAGATGGAAAAGGCATGGGTGATCAACAGATAGTTTTCCACACTATTCAAAATTGTACAAAATGATGCAACAAGAATAAATTGTATACCTTAATTTGCCACTGCATTTTACAGCAAATTATCTATGGGTATTCATTATTCTAAACTACAAATACAAATTTTTTTNGTCAGACGGGATAGATAGGAGTGGAAGGTAGAGTTACGGAAGATAGATAATTCTTTTTTGGTGAGGTAGGATAATCTATTATAGGACTGACGATCGGAGGGATGTCTAGATCTTTGCCATATCGCCCGGGCTTGACGTTTTTGGATTAGGAGATTCGTTATATGTGGGGGTAGAGGGGGTGGTTCTTTAGAGATCATGGGATGGCTGGTGAGGTGAGCCTCCCAGGTCGCCTGCTGTACAGCAGAAGTGAA